CAGCCGCTCGGGTAGGTGAGAACGGGTAGCGGCACAGAGGTACCGTGAGCTGACGTTGTCGGCCCTTCGCCTCTGCGTCCCCGTCCGCCTCCTACCTGCTTCCCCTCAACCACGCTTGCCGTGTTGGCCGGGTCGGCGTCCTGCCAGGTGCCATCTCCAGGAAGAAGGTAACGGCGATGGCACTAGGTCCCCGGTGTCACCACAGGCTCGCATCCCTCTTGTACAGCACAGCAAGAACAGGGTTAACATCCACCAAGCACCTGCTGTCTTCCCTGAGAAAAACACACTGCAAACACACAAGTATCAGTTACAAAACCCCTCTATTTGGGGAACATAAAATACCTGTTTCCTTTAAAGCTCATCAGCTGAAGGAAGAGAGTGATTGAGGAGGCGGCAAAGGCTGTTTGCCTCTTACAGAAGCAACCAAACAGCATCTGTGATGTTAGAGGGGACAGAAAAGCTGCTGGAGCCCACTGGGTTTACAGATGCCGCTTCTGCTTATTTCACACTCGATGCGCTGCTGCAGTTCTGCTTTGGGAGCAGGGCTAGGGTGGCTTCTCAGGAGGACTGCCAGAGAGGAAAATTAAAATTAGATGATTTCTGTCTCTAGGGAGCGTGAAAGGGACTGGAGTATTTCCAAGCTCTCCTGTGCTTTGCTAGTCCAGTTTAATCCGATCCTCCCGATGAAGCGGGTTTGACAGCCCCTGCGACCCGGCGCTGGTGTGCGAGCTCGTCAGTACCTACAAGCGTCCACCCTGCGAGAGCAGCAGGCACGGGTAGGAACAAGTCGCACAGGGTGGGCAGGCCTTTGAGCGAGATCAGGCAGCCTTGCTGTCAAGGAGGTTCCCTTGGATCCAGAAACCTTCTGCAAATCAAGATCACGCTTTAAATCCCACCTGTGACCTCTCTCTCTGTCTCTTGTTACGGAATGTGTGCTGCAGACCCCCACCGAGGGGCCCAGTGAGTTCCCCTCACCGGTATCTATCTGCTGGGCGGTGGGTTTGTGAAGATGGGAGCAAAGAGCTCCTGGGGAGGGGCAGTTTTCAGGGCTGTTGTTCACCCTCGCTGGCACGTGCACCCGCCGCTCAGCCAGGGCATTTGGCTGCAGCCCGGCTCAGGTTTGCCGGTGCCCTTTGCGAGAAAGCGTCACCTCCTCAGAGAGGAGCGAGAAATCGCAAAGTCCTCGGCAACAAAGGAAGCAACAGGAGCACCCAACAAGTCCCAGGTATAACAGAGCTTTTCCGGCACCGCTACTGCTCGGCTGTGCCAGGCAGAAATCGCGATCTCCTGGACTGGCATGGTGGGGAGAAGTGAACGCAGGACACCGAATCTGGGCAGGAGGCTGGAAGCCCAGGACCCATGGCTGCTCTTGTCGCACTCACCTGCGGAAGCTGGCAAGTTCATCTAGCCTCAGTTTCCCCATCTATCGCATGGAGGTGACCTGTGACCAGCTGTGACCCACAGCTGCCGGGTCAGGAACCCTTCTTTTTAACAAAAACAGAGAAGCTTTCCATTGATGCCACCAATGACCTTCTGGTCACCAAATATGAAGCATGTGAGCTCAGCTGCACTACCTGTCAGGAGTCCAAGAGGCTTCTTGCTGGGATGAAGCGTTGGGAGGGTCAGCTCTACTGCAGGGACAAGAGGAATTGCCGTGCTACTGGCGCAGCCGCCCTGGAGGCGTTGGGGTCACTCAGGGCAGCTGAGCTGGGGGCCTGCAGGTTCACCAGCGAGCCGAACACAAGGTGCAGAGGAGAGGAAAGGAGCAGCTGATATGACAGTGGCATCAACAAGAAGCAATACTGACTAGAAACCATCTTCTAAGACAATAAGAAGAGTTAAGTCCTACTCCAACAGGACTGCTGGCTCACCAGGTTTTTGCATACGCCTCTACAAAAGCTGGTTGAAAATGAGCAAGCTTTCGGATTTCCAGACAGCTTACACCTCCAGCTGGTGGTGAGCTAAGATGATAGGTACAGTAAAGCTCCAGCTTACCTTCAATGGTAAGCTTGCTTCCACTCAACAAGTCGCACCTCAAACCAGCAGAACTGCGCGGAATAGCGCTACGTGCCCTATGACATAAGCCGTGGCAGATGGCTTTTGGTAGTGTAAATAAAGCACTGGCATTTCTTTTTGGTTCCCGCTAGCTGACATGAAATACGTTCAGCAACAAATGAAAGCATTTGCACTCTCAGTTTGAAATTGGGGCTCTCGTGCCCTCCCTAACGCCGTAGCTGAGGCACAGCGGTCGTCCGAAGAACGAGCACAGGTGTGATAACAAACAGAGGTGTCACCAGGCCAGCGTTCCCTCTGCCTCAGGAGGCCGGCCGTCAGGCAGCTACCCCTGCGAGGATCTCCACCGCCAGCAGCGCGACCGGGTCGGGAACAGCCATGCACCCCGACTGCCACAAAAGACCACGACAGCTCGACACTGGTTCCTGGCTTTATTGTCACAGACCCCGTTACAGACTCGGCACCAAGGGCGGTGTTACTGAGGACGAGTCTTCAGACGTTGTACCCGATCAGGTTGCCCTTGCCTATGATCTCCCCAATGTAAAACCACATCAGCACCTCCGTGGCCACCAGACCATTCCTCAGCGCTTCCTGAAAGAAAAAAAGCCACTGTTTAGATCATTGGCTCCCGCGACAGCCTCCTTGCTCACTAACGTAGTCAAGCTCCACATACGACAAGCAAAGCCGTCAAGCAATTCACAAGGCAACAGTTTAAGCAAAAAACCAAAAGCGCAACGGAACATTTATCGTGTTCAGCTGCCCCTCAACAGACCACGTTATTAAGATAGTTCTAAAATGTTCACTGCAGCATCAGTTGTCACTCCTGGTTTTTTGCAGCCCTTTCAAAAGATCATTTCTTAAACTAGACACGTGGGAAACACTTTGATTTCAAGGCCGACTGACAACACAGCTGTTCCAGGCGGTTGGGCTACATCAGCCGCCCGCTGATACTCGCGTCCCTTGGACAGATAACGATGGGGGCCCAAGGAGCGCAAGCACAGCCTAGTCCAGGCAGGGAAGGGTTAAGGCAAAGCTGATATAATAAAAAGCTGCCCCTGAACTCCTTGAGAATCCATTGTTTTCCATGGCATGAGCTAGCATACCGGCGGTTGAGTCAGATCTTGGAAAAGATTGCTCTGAACACCGGTGTCTCATAGAATACAACGGACAGGACCTGGAAAGGCTGCAGAGCTCCTCTATTCCTCAGCTTATCCAGAAAAAATGGATAAGTTTCTGTAAATATAATTTACAAACACCAAACAAAACACATCTTTGGAGCGTCAAGCGTAAGAGCAGCCTGGGTGACAGAAACCCACTCCAGTATCGATTCCTGCGGGGTCCAGCCTCACAGCGGGTGGGTTTGCAGGGCGCACAGTGTGGATCCATTGCTCCACGCTGGTTGTGCAGAGAAAAAGGAGGAGGAGGAGAAAGAAAAGAAGGCAGGCAGGCGGGCAGCCTGACCCAGGTGCTCCGCAGGAGCGCTTCAAGGGCGGCACAAAGCCCGCACGTTAAAGCGCCCCCCCCCCGGCCGGGCCGCCGTTACCTTGACGGTGAGCTGCGCCAGGCGGCCGCTCTGGAAGCTCCGGACCATGGCCTTCATGCTGTCGATGGCCTGGGGGATCTCGGCGGGGCTCGGCGGGGCCAGCTCCACCTTGGCGTAGTACCAGAACGTGGCCAAGCGCGGCTTCGAGTAGGCCACGGCGGCTGCC